GAAGGAAAGAAAGAAAGGAAAGAAAGAAAAAGAAAGAAAGAAAGAAAAGAAAGAAAAAGAAAGAAAAAGAAAGAGAGAGAGAGAGAGAAAGAAAGAAAGAAAGAAAGAAAGAAAGAAAGAAAGAAAGAAAGAAAAAGGGGCTGAGTGTGGTGGCCCATGCCTGTAATCCCAGCACTCGGGAGGCTGAGGCAGGAGGATCACACTATCACACTAGTTTGAGCCCAGCCTGGGCTAAGTAGTGAGTTCAAGGGCTTGAACTATACAGTGAGACCCTGTCTCAAAAAAAAAGGGAGGGTACAGATGAAGAGATACACAGGGCGAGGCCTTTGGGCAGGGTGAGGACCTTACCTACCCTCTCTAGGTGCAGCACCCTCCAGGGCTCTCGCTGTGTTCCGCCATCCAGAGGTTCTCCCAACCCTATCCTTCAGGTCTTTATGGAAACTTGAAGCGCGGATGGCTGTTAAAATGTGATTGGACGATAGGATAAGGGCCCGATGCTAGTGGATGGAGTGGGGAACCGGGCAAGCCTGTCTGTGCAGTTCCTACTGCTCAGTGATGGGCAGGACACCTCTACAATTACTCTTTTATCAGTCTTCTGTGTGTTTAGTTGGTTTGGTTTTTTGAGACAGGGTCTTGCTGTGTAATCCAGGTTGCCCTTGAAATTCTATAGCCCAGCCTGGCCTTGATCTCATGGCGATCCTACTGCCTCAGCCTCCCAAGTGCTGGAACTACAGGTATGCACTACCACACCTGGTTTGCAATCAGTCTTAAAATCTACTATCAGATGCTGGGCATGGTAGTACACACCTGTAATCTCAGTAGTCAGGAGGCTGAGGCAGGAGGACTTCTGTGAGTTAAAGACCAGCCTGGACTACATAGGGAGACCCTGTCTCAAAAAAAATAAAACAAAACAAAATAAAAAATTTACTAACAGGTGATGTAAATAACGGGGAAAGGTATTAAAGTTGGTGAAGACATGAAGAAAGAAAGATCTATCAGGACTGGGAGTGTAGGCTCAGTAGTACTGGCTGCACAAGGGCCTATTGCTGTTTTGTTTTGTTTTTCACGCCAAGGTTCCCTTTATTTTGGCCATGTCTCGACAGTCATTCACATAAGACTAACTGCTCATAGGAATGCAGAGGCCTGAATTTGATCCCCAGCATGAAAGGAGAAAAATAGGTAGGACAGATGGACAATCAGGGAGTTTCTACAGCTGCCCAAGGCAGACAGATGTGGGAGATTCGGATGCCTTCTTAGTTGCTTAGATCCACTTTAGGGCAGAGAAATTCTAGCTTCTTCTGAGGCCTGGTTTGGAGAGAAAAAGGAACAGGTGAAAGACAAGCAGAAGGAGGGAGAGACAGACAGACAGGCAGACTGACTGTTTCCGTCCCTGCGCTGACAAAGGACGCCTTCGCCTTCCTGTCCTGAAGTTGTTCCATGGCTGCCTCCGATCCGAGGACGAAAGGCCAAAACCTTCTGCCTTCCTGTTGTCATTTACAGCCGGAACCCAGGAAGAAAACCAACAGGAACTCGAGATACCAGAGATAGAGGCAGGGATTCCGAGCCCCGGCCCGTCCAGGGGCCTCCAAAGCTGAGTGGGCAGGAAGCTGTGCTTTGTTGGAAACTCACGCAGAGCGCCTCAGCCAGCTCTGACTTCTGGGGTGCTAATGACCTTGGTTAATGGCCAAGTGAGACCTGTGCCAGATTCTGATCTACAGAGAATAAATTTGTTTTTGTTTTTGTTTTTGTCTTTCTCTTTTTGAGACAGGATCTCGCTGTACAGTTCAGGCTGGCCTTGAGCTCACTTTGTAGCCCAGGCTGGTCTTGAACTTGCCACGATCCTCCTGCCTCAGCCTCCCCAGTGCTGGGATTACAGGCATGCGCCACCATGCCCGGCAGCTGGAGGATAAATTTGTGTGACTTTCAACCACTGCACTGTGCTCACTTGTGACAGTATCAATAGAAAAACGAAGATGCTATGCAAATAATGAACTGAAACAATAAAAAATTCTAGCTGAATCTTGCTGCCTGCGTTAAGTGAGTTAAAAAGTGACCGGTCAGGCCAATCATGACCTGTCATGCCAGTGCTTTGGGAGGCTGAGGCAGGAGGATCACAAGTGAGAGCCTAGCCTAGGCAAGTTAGTGACTCAGTGAGACCCTGTTTCAAAATTTAAAAAAATTAAAAAGTGTTGGCTCAGTGCCAAGGCCCAAGGTTCAATCCCCGGTACTGCAAAAAAAAAAAAAAAAGAAAGAAAGAAAAAGAAAAGAAAAAGTAATGTATATGTTACCTTTTTTGTTTTGTTTTTGTTTTTTGTTTTTTGTTTTTTTCCGGTACCGGGAATCAAACTCACAACCTTGCGCTTGCCAGGCAGGCGCTGTGCCCCTGAACTAAATCCCCAGCCCCTATGTTACCTTTTTTGTTTGGTTGGTTTTTTGAGACAGAGCCTCACTGTGTAGTTCAGCCTGGTCTTGAACTCACTATGTAGCCCAGGCTAGCCTGGAACTCATGGTGATCTGCCTGCCTCAGCCTCCCAAGTGCTGGGATTACAGGCATGCGCCACCATTCCCAGTTTATTTTGCCATTTTTAAAGGGCTTTTTGTTTGTTTGGTTTTCTTGATTTTGTTTTTTCCTTTTAGTTTTTGTTTTTGAAACAAGCTATACCTATGTAGTTCAGGCTAGCCTTGAACTATGTAGCCCAGACGGGCTTCAAACTTGAACTATGTAGCCCAGACTGACCTCCTGTCTGAGTGCTGGGATGACAGGTGTGTGGCACCTCACCCAATATTTTTTTGCGGGGGAGGAGGAGTGATTTTGTTTTTTTGAGACAGAGTTTTTAAATTCAGGCTGGTCTTAAAATCACT